GGGGGGGGGGGGGGGGGAGGGAGGGGGAGGGGAATGCCGTTCTAGCAGCACTCCAAGCACAGGGTCCCTTGCTAAGCTGCCACTTCCAGGAGGCCTCAGGACTGCCCTGACCTGGGCCAAAAAGCCCGATGATGGTGGCAACAAGCAGCAGATGCAAAGAGGGGTCATGAAATGAACTGGACGCTCGGTGCGTCCCAAATGGGGCCCCCAGGAGGGCTGCAGATGTGAAACCTTCTGATGCGCCCAGCAAGATGCCTTCTCAACAGCACAACGAGTTGGTACAGACACAGCACGATTTAACCTGTCCGATTCTGGCAGGCACAAGGAGTCCAAGAGGAAAGGGGGGTGCGTGTGGGTTCCCTCCTGCCCCAGCTTCCCCAGGCGGGGCTGAAGAAGCCATCCGGGACATCTACGGACTTTGCCAGACAAAGGGAAACACTCAGAAGATGGGAATGTAGTTGTCAATCTTGGCTCGGTGGCGCTGTGCAATGCACTCCGCAATCCACACAATGTTGCGACATTCTTGCTCCTTCAGTTTCACAAAAGCATAAAACACACCAAAATGGAACTGGTTCAGGAAGGCCAGCTTGTTCAGCTTCACCTGCCGGAAAGAGACACACCTGAGCGGGCATCCTGCTATCCTGGGGAGCCCCAACCGTCCCGGGGAAGAACCACCTTCTTCAATGGGCTTGGCAGGGGAGATTTCTGCAGTACTGGCAGGCAGCACCACATGTGGGGGGGGGCTCCCCATGACCTCTGCTGTGATGGCGTCCCCCCTCCCGGAGGTTTGGTGAGTCTGTCCAGGCTGAACATTGGCCATCAAAGCATGGCCATCCCCCTGCTGAAGTCCGGCAGCTGCTCCTGAGGGCACAGCTCACCACTGCCCTGCTCTGGACCAAGCGGCAGCGGGACGCCCTCTATGCTGCACCTGGATTTATAGCTAGGAATTGAGGATTCCCCTCTCTTCCACTGCAACTTTAGCAACGGCCTAAAGGTACCGAGGGTGACAGGACTGAAGCACAGGTTCTCTGACCAGAGGCCTTCAGCAAACGGGATTGCACGGAGTGAAAAACTACAGAGGACAGCAAAGGATGGCTCTGTATTTCTCTGCTGCCATCCTCTGATGCTCGGCGTCATCACAGCCCACTGAGAGCAGCCTCAGAAAAGGGCCCCCAGGAGAGCCACAGCAAAGGATGGAGGGCGCCTCTGGCTGCTGCCCCTCCTTCTCCCTGAGGCCACCACACGCCGGGGGAGGAGGGGCTCCTAGAGTTAAAGAGCTAGACGTGCATGGGGAGCTCCCACCTGCTCACCTCGTGCTCAAAGAATCGGTCTTCCAGGGTTTTGTCACCAGGGTTGCTCCCTGCTCCTTCAAAGAGCAACTTGTATTCCTGCAGGAGAGAGAGAGAGAGAGAGAGAGACATGAGGGAGGACAGGGAAAGCTGGCAGGCAGGGCATGGAATACCCTTCAGCTGAGAGGTTGTAAAAGAATCAGAAGAGCAAAAAAAGGCCCCACTCAGGCTGCCTTCAGGGACGTGGGCCGGAACATCCCCTCCGAGACAGGGGAGAGCCACTTTTGGGGGTGGGGGTGGCTGAGGGGCTGCTGACCTCCAAACAAGAAGAGCCAAAGCCCTGGTTCTGCTTCAGGCCTGAAAAGTCCTCTCCCTGCCCAGCTCCCAGGAGGAGAAGCCCTGAGCTGCCTCGCCTTCATCAAAACTAAAGGAAGGGCAAACATCCATCCAGCCTCCTTTTCACCAGACTAGGACGGATGAAAGCAAGAAGAAATGCCCCAACTTCTCTCAGCAAAGGCTCCCCCTCTCCTGGGAGCTGCACCACATCCAGAACTGCAGCCCAAGGACCCAGAGGAGGCCAGGCTGGGCGATGCCTATGTGGAGAAGAGACACCGGCTCCGATGCACAACTCAGAAGGACCCCAACGCAGGCAGCACTGGCCCCTCTTGCGAACTGGGCTCTGCGTCTCCCTCGCACTGACCAGCCCCACCACCCACGGCTGCCCTGGGGCCCTTACCGGGTAGTAATTGGCCACTGTTTTGACGTGCTCGTAGTCATCTGCCCGGGCGAGCTGAGCCAGGCCCTCGGGGTGGAGTTTGCCACAGTGGGGGAAGAGCTTGGCGCGGTCCTCCTTGGACAGCTCGGTGCCAAAAGAATTGATGGTGATGATGAAGGCTCTGCGATCCGCTTCGAACTAGAGGGAAAGAGGACTGGGTCTCCTCTCTTGCCAAGCAAGCGGGAAGTTGGACCCCCACAGAGCAGGTGCTCAGCTGGCTCCTACCTCCAGAATCGGGCACATGGCATCTGCTGTTGTGCCTCCCAGGCTCTTGCAGAACTTGTAGAAGGACTCCAGGTAAGCCTGGGGAGAAATCAGCCCCTGGTGAAGACCAGGCCAGCAAGCCTGGCAAGAGCAACCCATGCAAGCTACAGAATGGCCCACAAAGAGTTTGGAGCTTACAGCCTGCCAGGGGCACTGCCCTCCAAGAAGGGGGGGGGCACCTGGTTTGGCAGAACAGCGAGAAGCTTTGGGATAGGCGAGAACCTTGAAGCTGAATCCCCAGGAGACGCAGCCTCTGCGTATGGTTGGGAACATACGGAAGCAATCAAAGCAGACGGCGTATCTGGGGGGCAATTTGCAGGCTGCTTTGAACATGAGCCCCTGCATTCCCCTTGCCTTGCTCCCCTGCTGAAGTCTCTGGAGGCAGACAGAGCGGCCTTTTCTTTTCGGGAGATCCAGCCAGCCAGGCTGGGCTATGAAGCCACACAGGAAGCCGGCATCCTCGGCCAAACCTCTCCAGCAGCCCCCGTGTTCAACTCTCGGCCCATGGAGCTTGGCAGACCCTCCACACCGCTTCCCACTCCCTTGTTTGCTTTGAGGTCCCCCGGGAGCTGCACGCTTATGCCCCCTGGCTCTGGGACTCTGTCCGATGAAGGGAAGCAGGCAGAAGCAGCATCCTGGGCTTTGCCAGGCACGAAAGGAACCTGGAGCAACCGAGCCAGGTCTTGAGCTCAGTGCTGGGAGGCCGAGGGAGTGGCAGCAGCTTCCTCAGCACACCTGGCATTCTCCCCTTCTCACCCTCCCTCGCCTCACAGAATGGCTACCCAGCCTTTCAGCAGCACTACCAGCTGTTCCATCAGGGCAAAAGGATTGTTACCGTGAAGTCCCAAAGGGCAAACCCTGAGCTCTTCCTTTTACCTTTCAAATCCAAATGGATGCTCATCCCCTCTATTTACTTCTCAAACACAACACCTTTCTTCAACTGATTCCGAGAGTTCTCCTGAAGAAGTCAAGTCTACCACACTAACCCTCCCTCTGGCTGCCATCCAGAGACAAGGGCCGAACCTGTGGGGGTGGGGTGGGGGGTTCTCAACCTTTTCTTCACTATATCCCCCCCCTTAAATACCATTTGTGGCCACCGCCGTCTCAAGAATGAGACCATAACATTTCTCCGAGCCTTTGTGGAACCCCTGGGATGACATCTCAAAGACCGGCTGAGACCCAAGAGCCCAACACAGCCTTACAAAACCAGACTTATGTACAAGTTGCTCTCTACCGTTGGTTTACTTTGCAGTTCTTATGAGGGACTGAGGGAGATCAAAAGGGAGCTTCCGGGGTGCAGGAGACTGAGGCCCGGCCAACATACCCCCCCTTTCCCGCTCCCCCCCCACCATGGAGGGAGAGGGGCCTTTGCCCTTCTGGCTTCAGTCCATCCTGCAGACCCAGAAATGTTGCACAAATGGGGGAAGCTTTGTGGCCCCGCATTTATTCGTCTCCAAGCACTTACCTTATACAAAGTGTTTCGTATGATCTCTATGTTCATCTCATCCAGGTCCTGCTCAGATATGCAATCCTGGAAAAAGGCGGCTGAAAGAGAAGGAAATGGGTGAGCAGAAGAGAGACCCCACAGGGCCCCTGCTCAGCCCTGCAGCTATCACTGCTTTGAGGAGGAGGAGTAGACCCCTCACCTAGCAGGCCCTGAGGTTTTCCACAAAGACTCACGCTTGCCAAGGCCACCAGTTTTTCCGCCCATCCAAGGCTGAGCCCCATTTGATAGCTGCCCTCTTATCTTACCGAGAGGCGTGTCCACCAGGATGGCATTGTAGAGCTCAGCTGGTGTCTGGGCAATATTCACAGCCTCCATCTGCTCAAAGCTGCCCAAGGGGTGGCACTTGGGTACCAGTTCAGCGATGGAGCGTTGATGGAGCGTCCCGGTAATCAGTAGAATGACATTATCGATCATGTAGCTGTAGCTGAAAAAAAGCAGTGAGAGCAGGGCTAGGAGAGCAAGCCACCCTCTCCCAGTGGAGGTCCTGTGGCCATCCATTCACATATGCATCCCCAAACAGGCTTCAGGGGGTTTCTCAACAGCAATGCCAGACGAGGGTGGAGCAGAGCACAGGCTGGGGCTTCTGCCCTTTGGGAAAGTTAGGACTTCAAACCTGCTACCTTGCAAGAAACAAGTTTAAACCACAAAAGCAAAAAAACAAAAAAAAACAAACCAACAACGTAAATGTGGGGTTTCTCACTGCTGTTATGAGAAGCCTGCTAAGTTTTCTTCTGCTCCATGACTCTGCACAAGAGGCAAGTGGCTCCGAAAGAAAACCCATTTGAAGTGATTCAGGGGACTTAGCCTACAGCTGTGAGCTCCAGATGATCCGACCTGACCGCAGGACCCAAGCAGGAGCAGCCCTGGTCGGGAAGACTCTTGGCCAGACCGGCCAGTGAAATCCCCACCCGGGAAGAAAGCACCAGGCAGAGCACCAAGAGAAGCGCAGGAACGCAATCATCGGGAGAGGAGCTTCCTTTGAAAGGTTGTCTGTTTTTTAGAAGTTATGACACCTGGATGCTCTTCTGTCCTTAGAAAGCCTCTTCCGAAGAACAGGGAAGGATCGGCGGCTGCTCACGGCGGCAGTTCCTCAACAGGCTTTGGCTGGACAGCCCCCACCAGGGACGCCTCAGGTTTTACAAGCTAGATGGTAGAAAGTGTATTCCTGATTTTTGCAGATGGTACGATAGAAAAGCATCTATCGTGACTTAAAGGCACATCACCAATGCAGGTCATCCAATGACTACCTTGAAGATCGGCCAATATTATCTGGTTGCTGCTACAGAAAAATCAGTCCAACCTTTCTCTGCCTGGAGCCAGTGGCCACTTTGCACACCCCGGCTTCCCTGGGGGGCCTGAAGTGCCCAGAGGCATCAAAGAAGCCAACTTCTCAGACCAGGCCACCCAGCGCAGATCCCCATTCAAAGCGGCTCTGGGGCCCTCCAGCGGAAGATACCAGAGGGAACCAACCAATCCTATTAGGCAAGAGATGGATCTCTAGCTTCCACTTCAACCTTGGCGACTTTCAGCTGCAGGGACCTGACACCCGGCATCCTGGCTGGGGAATTCTGGGAGTTCAAATCCATACAATTTAAATTCACCTAGGTTGAGATGCTCTGCTCTACCTTCAATGAAACCGATCAATACCTTGTGCCAATGTTTCTATCGCTGAATTGCTCCAGAAAGTTGGTTTTCCTACCCACCCAACAGTCACCGTTATTCTCTGTCTTGCACTAAACAACAGAAAGAGATTGTGGTCTCCCTGAAGAGTGTGACTGTAGGGGCAAGAGAATTGGCATGGCAGCCAGCTAGGCCGATGCATTGCACTCAGGAAAGACTTGTGCCAGGTAAGCTGTGTCCAATTGTGGGGCCTGGCAAGCCAGAAAGACATGGAGAAGCTGGACTGGGTTTACGATGATAACAGCCCTGGGAAGCAAACTGATGAGGAGGAATGGCTAAACTATTTGGGCATGTTTATTTTTCAAACAGGGGAGATAAAATAAAAGTGCACACTTCTAAATCTAAAAAAACCCAAACATTTTACAATTTCCATGAGGAAATAGACTTATTCTCTGTTTAAACAGAAGACAGAACAAGGACCAATGGACTGAAATTAACTTAACAATTGAATGTTATTATTAAACTCTTTTAAACATACAGGTAGTCCACACTTAATGACTGTAACTGGGATAGGCAACATTGCCATTAACCAAAGTGATCACTAACTGGGAAATCACATGACTGCAACTGTGGATGCAAGAAAGAAGACTAGTCGTTTTCATACTTTTTCTACAATTTGCCTCCTAACCACTCTTGCTCTTTGGCAGCAGGAAATGGAAAAGAGGAGAGAGCTTATGTACTTGCTCCTCCTTCCACAGCAGAGCCTAGAGAGGGAGGGATTTCAAGAGAGTAAGCTGCTTGCTCTTCCACACATTGAGAAAAATGTAATTGTGCTGGCAGTGGGAGACACCTTACTTTCTTGCAATCTCTTTCTCTCCAATCTACAGGACAGGGGTGGGTTTCTCGCCCCGTTCCAACCGGTTCGGTTGGAACGGGGCCGGCGGCATCCTCATGCATGCGCGCAGTGCACGCATGCGTACTAGCCCCTGTGCGATGCTCCAGCTGCTCCACTGTATGTGTTCTGCGCATGCGTGGAAGCGCAGAACTCGTCAAAACCAGGTAAGAAACGCGGGCGGGCGGGTGGATCCTTCGGCGTTCCCGGAAGTTACTTACTTCCGGGTTCGCCAACCAACCGGTTCGTGGGGACCGCCACGAACCGCCTGAAACCCACCCCTGCTACAGGACGACCTCTAGATGTCACAAGCGCTACTAAGAGTTCAGAACAGTAGTGGATTCTTTTTGCAGGATGATCATCAGCCAGGAATACCTGACTGCAGTGATGGCAAATGCTTTAGACACCGAGTGCCCAAATTGCACACGTGCACATGCCCAAACTGAAAGGTGCACTCACACACGCGAATACGTGCATGCACAGCAGAGACCCAAAGACCATCTGGCTGGTGGGGGCTGGTGGGAGGCGGTGCATCCCAACACCGGCAGCGCAGCAAGAGGTAAGATCTTTTTCTTTCGTGAGCTTGTTTCATCGTCTGCAGGGAAACGGAAGCTCACAAAAGAAACGCCACGGAGATCTGAGGGCGATGGCGCACGTGCCAGCAGAGAGGGCTCTGCCTGCTACCTCTGGTACGCGTCCCATAGGTTCGCCATCATGGCTTAGTGGATTCCTGAAGTGACCAGAAAATTAAACCTATAATGTCCCTTCCAACTCACATATCCTATGCCAGGGGTGTCAAACTGGATTTCTTCAAGGGCTGGATCAGCATTGTAGTTCTCCTCTGAGGGCCAGCCTAGGGGAGGGGGGGAGGGGAGACGGGAGGCCTACAGCTGCACCTTACCATCCAAAATGGGCCTGAATGGCCTCTTGTAACAGCCTGCCGGGCTACATTCAGCCCACGGGCCTTGAGTTTAACACCCCTTTCCCATCTCAGTTCCCCCAACTCTCTTCTTCTCAAGACTAAAGAAGCCAACAACAACTTCTCAAGAAACGACTCAACACATGGACATCACCAGACGGTCAACACAGACATCAGATTGACTGTGTGCTCTGCAACGAAAGATGGAGAAGCTCTATACAGTCAATAAAAACAAGACCAGGAGCTGACTGTAGCTTAGATCATGAGCTTCTTGTTGCAAAATTTAGGCTTAAATTGAAGAAAGTAGGGAAAAGCACTGGCCACTCAGGTATGAACTAAATCATATCCCTGGTGAATATACAGTAG